TTCTAGTTGTTCTTTGCTTAGTTTGCTTTTGTTTTTGTTTTAGGTGTGGTTGTTAATAATTGTGAGTTTGCTGTCATTTCATGGTTCATATTTTTTATCTTCTTTTTCTTAGATAAATGCCCTTAACATTTCATAAAATAAGGGCTTGGTGATGATGAACTCCTTGAATTTGATCTTATCTGAGAAGCACTTTATCTGTCCTACCATTCTAAATGAAAGCTTTGCTGGATAGCGCAATCTTGGATGTAGGTCTTTGGATTTCATGACTTGGAATACTTCTTTCCAGCCCCTTCTTGCCTGGAAGGTCTCTTCTGAGAAATCCGCTGACAGTCTGATGGGAACTCCTTTGTAGGTGACTGTCCCCCCTTATCTCTTGCAGCTTCTAGGATTCTCTCCTTCATTTTAATCTTGGGTAATGTAATTCAGATGAGCCTTGGTGTGTTCCTTCTTGGGTCCAAGTTCTTTGGGACTCTCTGAGCTTCCTGGATTTCCTGGAAGTCTATTTCCTTTGCCAGATTGGAGAAGTTCTCCTTTCTTATTTGTTCAAATAAGTTTTCTACTTGTTGCTCTTCCTCTTCCCCTTCTGGTACTTCTATAATTCAGATGTTGGAACGTTTAAAGATGTCCTGGAGATTCCTAAGCCTCTCCTCATTTTTTTGAATTCTTGTTTCTTCATCCTTTTCTGTTTGGTCATTTTTTTCTTCCTTCTGGTCCACTCCCTTGATTTGAGTCCCAGTTTCCTTTCCATTACTATTGGTTTCCTGTGCATTTACCTTCATTTCAATTAGTTTAGCCTTCACATGTTCCTCTAATTTGTGACTAAAATCAAACAGTTCTGTGAGCATCCTGATCACCAGTGCTTTGAACTGTGCATCTGAAAGTTTGGCTATTTCTTTGTCACTTAGAGTTATGGGCTCTGAGGCTTTGAGTTCTTCTTGAGCCATAATGTTTTGCTTGTTCCCACCTGTTATGTATGAGGAGCGTAACCTTAGGGGTTCACCAGGAGAGAGCCACTCAGGTCGCTGGTTTGTGATGCTGTTGTGGGGGCGGGGTCAGAGAGGGACAATGGTGGTCCCCTCCGCTGCTTCCCGCCGCTGGGGCCTGCATGGCCCATCTCACTGCCCACTCCTCTGCTGGTGGAGCAGAGAATGTGTGACCACACGAATGTGTGACCACAGTCAGCCCTCAGTGGGTCCGCCACCGTGCACCCTCAGTGGGTCTGCCCGCTGCTACTCCACACCTGGGTTCCGCCCATGCCTGTCTGTGTGCTTGGGTTGAGCGCCCCGGTGTGTCTGGTGGATCTTTCCTGCCCGACCTGGCTCAGCTGCTGGCTCTGGCCCTCTTACTGGTCTGGCTGAATGGTTCATTATTGTCAGACTTCCGTATAGTTCAATTTTCAGTGATTTGGCTGTGTTTTTATTGCTAAAACTTTGTTGTTTTTAAACTTGGTTGTGCAAGAAGACACAGTGTTTCCACCTACGCCTCCATCTTGGCAGAAGTCCATTATTAAATTTCTTTTTTTTTCCCTTATATTGGATTGTTTTATTATTTTTAACTAATTTTTCTGGTAACAGTTTTTTTTTCTTTAATTTATTTATTTTATTGATTATGCTGTTACAGTTGTTCTATTCCCCCCTTCATTCCCCTACACCCTACCCCCCCGTCCCCACCATTACCCCCTTCAGTTTATGACCATGTGTCTCAAGTTCTTTAGATTCTATATTCCCCATACTATTCTTGCCCCCCTCTATTTTCTATCTACTGTCTACGCTACTTATTTTCTGTACCTTCTCCCCCCTTCTCCTCCTCCCACTCCCCTGTTGCTAACCCTCCTTGAGATCTTCATTTCTATGTTTCCACTCCTGATCTAGCTGTCCTTTTAGTTTGCTTTTGTTTTAGGTGTGGTTCTTAATAACTGTGAGTTTGTTGTCCTTTCACTGTTCATGTTTTTTTAACTTTGTTTTCTTAGATAAGTCCCTTTAACATTTCATATAATAAGGGCTTGGTGATGATGAACTCCTTAAATTTGATCTTATCTGAGAAGCACTTTATCTGTCCTTCCATTCTAAATGAAAGTTTTGCTGGATAGAGCAATCTTGGTTGTAGGTCTTTAGATTTCATGACTTGGAATACCTCTTTCCAGCCCCTTCTTGCCTGTAAGGTCTCTTTTGAGAAATCCGCTGACCTTCTGATGGGGACTCCTTTGTAGGTGACTGTCCCCTTAGCTCTTGCTGCTTCTAGGATTCTCTCCTTCATTTTAATCTTGACTAATGTAATGATGATGTGCCTTGGTGTGTTCCTTCTTGGGTCCAAGTTCTTTGGGACTCTCTGAGCTTCCTGGATTTCCTGGAAGTCCATTTCCTTTGCCAGATTGGGGAAATTCTCCTTTATTATTTGTTCAAATAAGTTTTCCACTGGTGGCTGTTCCTTTCCCCCCTTCTGGGACCCCTATAATTCGGATGTTGGAGCATTTAAAGATGTCCTGGAGGTGCCTAAGACTCTCCTCATTTTATTGAATTCTTGCTTCTTGACTCTTTTCCGTTTGGCCATTATTTGCTTTCTTCCGGTCCACTCCATTGATTTGAGCCCCAGTTTCCTTTTCATCACTATAGGTTTCCTGTGCAATTCCATTCATTTCAGTTAGTTTTGCCTTCATATGTTTGTCTAATTTGTGGCTATAATCAACCAGTTCTGTGAGGATCCTGATCACCAGTGTTTTAAACTGTGCGTCTGAGAGTTTTGCTATTTCTTCATTGCTTAGATTTATAGGTTCTGGGGACTTGAGATCTTCTTGAGCCATTTTTGGTCTGTTCGTGCCCGTTAAGTATGAGGAGCGGAGCCTTGGACTCCCAGGTCGCTGGGCTGTGACGCTGTATGTGGAGGCGGGGTCAGAGCAGGGAAATGGTTGCCCCCTCTGCTGTTTCTCGCAGCTGGGTGAAGAGCAGAGCCTTAGGTTGTTCACCGGGGCAGAGCCACTTATGTCCCTGGATTATGACACTGTATGTGGAGGCGGGGTTAGCGTGGGGAAATGGCGGCGCCCTCCGCTGCAGCTTGCCACTGGGGCTGCTGGCTCTCGTCCAATCGCCCACTTCCTTGCTTGTCTATCCACACACGAATGCCCGACCACAGTCCACCCGCAGCCCTGCTCCCTCACTGTTTCCCCGCGATTGCTTGCTGAGTTGCCCACCAGGTCCAACCCTGTGCCTGGATTCCGTGTGCCTGAGTCCATCTGACCGAGTTTTCCTGTGCTACCCCACTCCGCCAGCTGCTGGTTTCGCCCCTCTTACCAGTCAGGCTGAAGAATTTGTTGTTATCAGACTTCGAAAAGTTCAATTTTCTGTGTTCTGGCTGTGTTTTCGGTTGCTATTATTTAGTTGTCTCTAAACTTGGTTGTGTGAGGAAGCACGGCATCTCTACCTATGCCTCCATCTTGGCGGAAGTCCCTGGTAACCTCAAATTTCTAATTTAGATATATTTTAGAAAGAAAAATATGATATCACTCTCAAGAATGGAAACCAGTATTACTGAGTACTTCCCGTAAATAGAAGTTAGCCACTAGAATAACATAGTGAATGTCCTGGCAGGTGTGGCTCAGTGGGTTGAATGCCATCCTGTAAACCAAAAAGTCTCTGGTTTCATTCCCAGTCAGGGCACATGCCTGGGTTGCAGGCCAGGTCCCTAGGAGGGGGTGCATGAGAGGCAAACCACACATTGATGTTTCTCTCCCTCTCCACCTCTCTCCCTCCCCTTCTCTCTAAAAAGATAAATAAATAAAATATTTTAAAAAATAACATAATGAAGACAGATAGTTATTAACTTGCAGCTAGTTATTGTTGCTATTGATGGTTCTGAGGTGAGGCCTGCTTCTCCATGCAGAAAATTTTTTTCAAGAGAGGTTGCCAAGTGTTGGAGAAGTGTTAAAGACATGCTAGCACCAAATTGACATGTCTTCATTGATGTGCTCAGAAGAATTCAGAGGGGTGAAGGAGGCATTTTCTCACTGTTATGTTGATGTGTTCCTGTGCTGTGCCCAGGTACCTCCTCTCACCTTGTCCATCAATGAGCACCCCTCTGCCTCCCAGACCCCACCATCACATCATGGGAACTGCTGAGATGCATACAGGTTCCTGCCCACCAAGGCTCTCTAACTCCTGGTCCCAGATACATGATCTTTCCAGCTTGGAGCAGTGACCAGGAACATCTTTTGGGATGAGTCCTTTACATTTCTTTCCCCATTTTTCCCAAGAGAAATGAGTGTCTCCCAGATGCCCTAAGCTCCCATGTCCTGGTCCCTTTCTCTCTCTGAATCCCATAACAAGGAGTAGATCACCCAAACCCTGTGAGCCCAGCTGCCTCAAATGGCAGCACTTCATTACGACTTAGGCACAAATCCAAAGTCACCCAGCCACACCATGGTGGTATAAGTCAACTAGTTGCTCTGAGTGAGTGAACTTTGTGTCATGTGAGTGGAAAGGCAGACAAGTTAAGAACCTGAGGTTGATCTTACAGTGCTAGTGGAAAACACAAGCGGCCAATGAGAGGCAGGGGCATCTGACGAAAGGGTTTCACAGCGAGCTAGATTTCAGTTGGAGGTTAGATTTGTCTGGGTACCCATTTCCCCAGACAATAAAAGTAACAAAACGTGTGCACCTGTGTCTTCTTGGAAGCACAAAGAGGCTGAAAGTAGCATAGAAAATATTTGCTTTTTCAAGTTGTATACAGATGCTCTCTATGAACATCATAAGAAAACATGCTCATTACTGAAGCTGTGGATATATTTCAGTAAAACAAGCCATGGCACTGGGAACATGGGAGCTTGGAATAAAAACCACTTTGGAGATCCTGGTGAAGCGTCACTCTGAGTGAAATCAGTGTCTTGGGTACTTGAAGGGTAGAGTCCCAACAGGAGGGCCTCTCTGCCTCCCCATCTCTTGGGCTTGTTAATCCTCCCTTGGAGCCCCTCCATGATGTCTGCCAGACACAGAACATGTGATTCTCACCTGGGGCTTGGTCTCATCTTTGTCCTTGTAATAGAAAAGCTGATCCCCATGCAGCACAAACCAGCGCTGCTGCCAGTTCTTCATGATGCCCCTCTGCTTCTTCAGCCAGCCTGCCTTCAGCACTGGGCCCAGCCTATGGGAGCAGGGTGGCTGCCCAGGGCTCTTGCTCTGCTCCCCCATCACCAGGCTTTTGGAGTGAGCTGCAAACCAAGAACACAAAGTAAGTGGGAAGAATGCATGCCTATTGTCAATCCTTATCTCACCCTGGCATCCTAGCTGCCCTGGGACCAGGACATGGGAGCTTAGGGCACCAGTGCATGATCACACTTAGAATATTACCCCTTGGGTTCAAAAGGTCTTGGGCTGGAGCACCTCCACAGCAACATCCCAAAACTATACACCCGGGGTACGTATACAGCTTGCCTGCCTGATTAATTTCTGCTATGTCTCGGGATATTGTGTTCTCTATTTCCCAAGGTGTCTTTATCCATCTATGTGTCTGACTCATGCAACTATCCAGGCATCCACACATCCAGCCATGGATCCACATATCCATCCTTCCATTTGTTTGCTGGAAATAACTATTTATTAAGTATCTTCTATAGGCCAGTCACTGTTCCAGGTGCTGGGGATAAAGCAGTGAAATAAGAGATATAAGACTTCTGGTCAATATGGCTGGGAAGGTAAATGCTGTGCTTGCCTCCTCCCATGACCACATCAAAATTAAAACTAAATTATAGAGCAACTACCATTGAGAACCACCTGAAGACTAGCCAAACCAAGAATATAAAGAAGAAGCCACAATGAGACTGGCAGGAGGGGTGGAGACATGGAATGGGCAAGTCCCACGCTGCAGTGTGGTGATTAAGAATTGGGAGGGGTATCTCATCTGCAGTGTTCAACCCTGAAGAATGAGGTATCCCAGCCTCATGCAGGCTCCCTACCCCAGGGCTTTAGTGCAAGAAAGAGGAGACTCCATAATATCTGGCTATAAAAACCAGCTGGGATTGCATCCAAAAGAGATGGAGAACTGCTGGAGACCTAGACACTACAGGTCTTAAAAGGCCTGTGTCTAGACTCACTTACTCGCAAATCCACTCACTTTGAGCTCCAGTATGCAGACAGCAGCTCAAAAAAGCAACAGGAACATATAGGGAGGAACTAAATTGATAAGCTTCAGGTTGAGGGCCGGAGAGGCAGGGGTTGGGACAATTGTCTCCAAAACAGAAATGCTGGCAGGTACCATTGTTTCTTTTTTGACTCCCTGCCAATCCCAACCCAGCCATGTTACACAGGTGGGCACCAAACCTGAGTTCTTCATTAATATGGCTAACACTGTTTGCCCCCCATTCCCTGGTGATTCTCTAAGACCTGGCCTCACCCAAATCACACATCCTGTTCAAGCCTCTTCCAGCTGCTTTTCCTCAGAAATGGCTTGCCTCGGCTTGTGTTGTGGACTTTCCTAAAATCTCTCAAAGGTCCACAAAACCCAAACAAGCAGTGGCTGGCCATGATGTGCTGTATAACTCTTGCTAAGTTATTCTAAGCTAAGCACAAGCAGTAAGTGCTCTCAACTTTCATTGTAACTCCCATCAGGTAGTCCCAAGCCTGGCATAAGTGGCATACAGGCACAGCTTGGAATATAGCCTTAATTAAATGGCCACAACCTGGTACAAGTGGCAGCTGGCCTTAGCTGTCAATCATGATGCCCAAGGGACCAGCCTGACACCAGTGGCAACTAGCCTTGGTGCACAGAATAGCCTCTCCCAAGTGCCTCTGAGACCAGCACAAGTGGCAATCAACTTCAGATCACTTTGTAGCTCCTGCCAGATGGGCCTAAGCTGGGCACAAGTGGTGGCTGACCTTGACCTGCACTGGAGCCTCTTGTAAGAGGCTCCATAACAAGCACACCTGGTGGCTGGCTTCAGACCATACCAGAACATCAGCCAGCCAGCTTCATAAAGGTGGGGCAGATTCAGCTGGCACTAGAACCCTGCTGAAGCCACTCTTGCTCTGAGGGGTCAGCTCTCATATAACAGCCCATCTGCTATAATCATGGCCAGTCCTCATAGTCAGTCAGTCAATCAGAGGGGCACTCTTACCCACTGGCATGCCAACAGCAATTAAGGCTCAACTACAACAGAAGAGTGCACACAACCCACTCAAGGGACACTCGAAGAGCACCTATCTCTGGTGACCAGGAAGACTGTGCTACTGGGCCCCACAGGATACCCACTATTTAAGGCCACTCTGCTAAGAACAGAGGTGTAGCATATTTACCTAATGCAAACCAAACACATGGAGTCAGTCAAAATAAGGGGATAAAGAAACATGTCCCAAATGAAAGAATAGGACAAAACTACAGGAAAAGAACTAAACAGTATAAGGACAAGCAATCTACCAGATGAAGAGCTCAAAACACTAGTTATAAAGATGCTCAACAAACATAGAAAAAGAATAGATAACTCAGTGAGAATTTCAACAAAAAGACAGAAAACATAAAAATGGAGATAGAAGCATAAAAATGAGCCAGTCAAAAATGAAGAATACAATAACTGAAATGAATACATTAGAAGGAATTGACATTGGAGGGAATCAACACAGAATAGATGAAGCAGAGGACTTGAATCAGCAATCTGGAAGACAAGGTAACAGTTCCTTGGAGCAGCAGAGAAAAAATAATTAAAAAAAATAAGGATGTTACATCAACATTTGTATAACAAGGGTACCAGAAAGGGAAGAGAGAGTGCAAGAGATTGAAAAGCTATTTGGGACAATAATGACCCAAAATTTACCTAGCCTGCAGAAGGAAACAGACATGCAAGTCCAGACAAAATGAACCTAAAAAGGCCTAGACCAAGATACATCATAATTAAAATGCCAAAGGTTAAAGACAGAGAAAGAATCTTAAAAGCAGCAAGAAAAAATCAGTTACTTACTTACGAGGGAACTCCCATAAGACTGTTAGCTGATTTCTCAACAGAACCTTTTTAGACCAGAAAAGAATAACACAAAATATTCAAAGTGATAAAAGACAAAGACCTACAACCAAGATTGCTCTACATAGCAAGACTGTCACTTAAAGCTGAAGGAGAGATAAAGAGCTTCCCAGACAAGAAAATGCTAAAGTAGTTCTAAAGGAGTTTATCACCATTATGCCACTTTTAAGAGGAATTTAAAGGGGACTTATTTAAGAAGAAAAGATCAGAAATATGAATGAGAAAATACAGCATTCCAGTCAAGATAGTGGCATAGGTGAACATGCTTTGCCTCCTTGCACAACTACAGCAAAAAATACAACTAGACTACAAAACAAATATTACCCAGATTCATCAGAATATTGGGATGCAGAAAACTGTACTTGAAGAAAAATATAAAAAATGTTAAAAAATCCAAATACCACATTATACAAAGTCAACAACATACAAGAGAATAAAAAGAAACAGAGAATTACAAAAACAATTAGTAAAATGTGAATAAGTCCATACCTATCACTAATTACCTTAAATAGACTAATTGCTCCAATCAAAAGACACAGGGTGCATAAATGAATATAAGATACGACTTGTAAATATGCTACCACAAGAGACCCACTTCAAATGGAAAGACACACAGAGACTGAAAGTTAAGGGATGGAAAAAGATATTTCATGCAAATAAAAACAGAAAACAAAAGCTGGGTAGTAGACTTCCGCCAAGATGGAGGTATAGGTGGATGTGCCGTGCCTTCTCACACAACCAAGTTTAGGGACAACTAAATATTAGCATCAGAAAACACAACCAGAACACGGAAAATTGAACTTTTCGGAAGTCCGTTAACAACAAATTCTTCAGCCCGATTGGTAAGGGGCGAAACCGGAGTCTAGTGAGGGGTTGCACAGGAGGACTGCGGTCGGACGGACCCAGGCACGGAATCCAGAGGCGCGAATCCAGACGCACGGGTTCCAAATGCAGGATTGGACCTAGTGAGCGACCGAGCAACCCACCGGGTGAGCGACTGCTGAGGAGACAGTGGGGAGGCGGTGCTGCGTGTTGACTGTGGTTGCCTATCTGCGGGCGAGCAGACAGGCGAGGGAGTGGGCGGTTGGACCGGCCCCCCCCCCCCCCACGGTCCCTGTGGCAAGCGGTGGTACAGGGCGCCGTCATTTTCCCGCTCTGACCACGCCCCCACAGACAGCGTTACAACCCAGCGACCTGGGAGTCCAAGGCGCCGCTTCTCACATTTAAAGGGCCAGAACAGACCAAAAATGTCGCAGGAAGACCTCAAAGCTCCAGAGATAAATCTAAGCGACGAAGAAATAGCAAAACTCTCAGACGCACAGTTTAAAACACTGGGCATCAGGATCCTCACAGATCTGGTTGATTATAGCCACAAATTAGAGAAACATATGAAGGCTAAACTAAGGGAAATGAATGGAATTCCACAGGAAACCCATAGAGATGAAAAGGAAACTGGGACTCAAATCAATGGAGTGGACCAGAAGAAAGCAAATAATGGCCAAACAGAAAAGAGTCAAGGAGCAAGAATTCAAAGAAATGAGGAGAGTCTTAGGAACCTCCAGGACATCTTTAAACACTCCAATATCCGAATTATAGGGGTACCAGAAGGGGGAAAGACACAACCACCAGTGGAAAAATTATTTGAACAAATAATAAAAGAAAATTTCCCCAATCTGGCAAAGGAAATAGACTTCCAAGAAATCCAAGAAGCTCAGAGAGTACCAAAAAAGTTGGACTCAAGAAGAAACACACCAAGGCACATCATAATTACATTAGCCAAAATTAAAATGAAGGAGAGAATCCTAGAAGCAGCAAGAGCTAAGGGGACAATCACCTACAAAGGAGTCCCCATCAGACTGTCAGCAGATTTCTCAAAAGAGACCTTACAGGCAAGAAGGGGCTGGAAAGAAATATTCCAAGTCATGAAATCTAAAGACCTACAACCAAGATTGCTCTATCCAGCAAAACTTTCATTTAGAATGGAAGGACAGATAAGGTGCTTCTCAGATAAGATCAAATTCAAGGAGTTCATCATCACCAGGCTCTTATTATATGAAATGTTAAAGGGACTTATCTAAGAAAAAGAAGTTAAAGAAACATGAACAGTGAAAGAACAACAAGCTCATAGTTATTAACAACCACACCTAAAACGAAAGCAAACTAAAAGGACAGCTAGATCAGGAGTGGAAACATAGAAATGA